GATCACCTGAAATGTGGCCGGCATCGTCATATAGCCAACTTCTGAATGAGGTTGATAAAGACTTGAACACTGCACGTTGTAGAGTTGAAGCAGTTTCCGAATTACTGTAATGAATCCCAGCTTAGAAATAGGGAGTGAAGTGATAGAGCACGTTGACCGCTTTACTTATTTGGGAAGTTGCTGATATGTATCCATATATATATATATATGGTGGTCTCTCTTTCTGTTGCTCTCTTAGTCTGTGACCATTTCACTTGTATGAACCTGTCTCCTTTAACAATGGACATTCCTCTTATATTATATATAATATGAGTGTTTGTTTGACATGTCTGTTATATCTGCTAGGTATATATGGATCGATATTCCATTATAATTAGCCAATCATGTTAAGACTGTCTACTGATTTGTTCATTTGGATATTCGTCCACACACTTGTTCGGACATTCATATATATTTTTGCTCGCACACTCTTGTGTCACATTGATTCTCCTGGGGTTTTGGAAAACAGAAGTATCATCGCAAACATAGTGGTCTTCTGATTTCCGTCTTTCTTGCGTCAGGACTATTAAATTCTCGACCAGTACATAACAATAATTTGGCGACGAGTACATAACAGTTGCATGAGCCCTAACGGGTTGATGGTTGACGAAATCTCAGCACGGATAAAAGGGGCTAGTTCCGCATATGCCAGTGTACGACGTCTCTCGCGTAGACGTGATATCCAGCTGTCGACCGAAAGGTGTGTGTACTGCTCGGCAGTCCACTCCGTCCTCCTTTATGGCTGTGAGTGAGACATGGTCATTGAAAGTGGAAGACATGAAAAGACACGCTGTCTTTGATCGTAGATACCTGCGTCCGGTCTTCCATGTTAAGTGGTATAATAGGGTGAGCAATATTGAGGTTAGTCATCGGTCGAGTGCTAGGTAGGTGGGAGGGGAAATCAGTAGACGCGCTGTGAAGTCACATCGATTGAGATGGTTAGGACCTGTGTTACGTATGCTTAGCCATCGCCTTCCTCGAAAGGCGATGTTAGCTTATATAGGATCAGGTTGTTAAAGAGCTAGTAGAGGTCAAATGAAAACATGGCTTCATCAGTCAATGAAATTCACAACAGTTAGTTTAATCCACATAGGAAGATGTAGACTTCCTGACTGGTTGGGGTCCCCGAGACGGTAAAAACCAATGGCTGCAGATAATCGGTGATGTGGCTCAAAATCATTCTCAATGACAGCGCAGATGCATCCATTCCTTGTGACTTATAATTTCCAATGAAACTACATTGTTCTTCGTTATTACTATTTCTTTTAGTCTCATATCCCTATCTACTGTCTCTATTTCGCATCTCTTGTACTTTCTTCTCTTGCTTTGTGTCCTACATGGAGTGTGTCGACTTGAACTGCTGCACATCAGTGCAAAGTTCTATGTTGAAAATAGACAGACAGTTTCCAAATTACTTCTCGGTCAACGCTGTCGAAGGCCTTTTCGAAGTCGATGAATTTGAGGTAGATGTTTGACTACCAGATATAGATACTCTGTTCGATGATGATGCGTAGACCTGCTATTTGATCAGCACATGATGTACCTTTCCTGAATCCGGTTGGCGGAGTTCTGTATCCAATGCATGCCTTAGTTTCTCCAGGATAAAACAACTTAGTATTCTACTTTGCGGGGACAAGAGCATTATTCCACACCAGTTCTTGCAGAGGCGAGTGTAAGTCGCCCTTCTTTGGTAGCTTGACAAGGTAGCCAGCCTTTCTTGCAATCAGTAGGCACTTTTCCTTCCTTCCAAACCTTCTGCAATAATGGCGTCAGCATTTCTGCCGCGGTCTATAGGTCCGCTTTCAGTGCTTCGGGAGGAATTTCGTCTTGCTCTGCTGCCTTCCCTGCCAGACTTCAATAGCTTGATCGCATTCGAGATTTCTGCTTTTGTTGGAGGGTTGGTGTCCACTGGCAGGTAGTTCTGTGCATGGTGTTGGTGGTATTCCTGGGTGAATTGTAGGTGATGGTCGACTCAAGAGTCCCTTAACGTGATCAGCCCACTGTTTTATTTATTTCTCCTTCTTGGTGATCAGGTTCCCTTGAACATCTTTTATTGGTTTCATCATCTGGGTTGATCTCTTCCCGGATAAGGACCTGGTTATCTGATATGATATTCTGAGGTCTCTTTTACCTTCGGCCTGCCTGTTCTCTTCAGTTGCCGGTCAGTGTTTTTTCGGGTTGTCTTTTGTCGTTTCTAGCACTCTTCTTCACCCTTGTATTCAGTGGAGTGTGCATTGAACTTAGCTTCCCCTTCTGTTGTTCATCTTTACATTGAGTCATCTTTTTCACCATCCTCTCTTCTATTAGCTTCCAGGTATCTGTTGAGAGCCATTAATTGTCTTGTTTCTTCTTTCTTCGTAGAACAGTTGTACACGTTTCCTTGATTTTGATGTGGTTTTGTTCTCTGAGCTGGATGGTTAGTTTGCGAAGCTTTCATCACCTTACTGGGTGACATCTTCAGCGCATACTTCAATTTGAAGTATGCGCTGAAGATGTCACCCAGTAAGGTGATGAAAGCTTCGCAAACTAACCATCCAGCTCAGAGAACAAAACCACATCAAAATCATCCACCTGAGCTACAAATCTTCTCTATCATACGTTTCCTTGAACATCATCTTCAGAGGGTTCCAGTGTTCTTCAACACAGATTTCCTCAGTGATGCGACGTAGTGTCACCGACTTTGCTCTGATCTGATCTGTAGTTAAGACACCCCTTTTTGTATTTTTTTTCAGTTTCTGAATGTTGAACTTGAATTGTGGCCTGTCTCCAGTTGTTTTCAAAAATTTCAGCTTGATCTTGAAGGTTCCTTGAACTAGATGATGGTCTAAGCCCACATCTGTTCCCCTTCTTGACTTTGTGTCCAGCAGGCTGTGTCTCCATTTCCTTGAGATTGAGAAGAAATCTATCTTGTTTGTGGTATGTCCGTCGGGCGAAATCCATGTTGCTTTGAGCATATCCTTATGCTTATATACGTTCCCTCCGATCACCAAATCATTGAATGCGCAGAAGTCTGCGAAGAGTTCTCCGTTCTCCTTCATTTTTCCGAGAGCCTCTCGACACATGATAAGTTCTCTTCCTGTATTATCTGCTCTCAGTTTGTCTTGTATTCATATCATTTATAAGGATTTTGCTTTCGCCATTTCGAATAATGTCTATTACTGTTTGCAGTTGTCTATGTAAATCGTCCTTCTTGTCTTGCTCCGAGTTGTTTGTAGGCGCTTAACATTGCATGATAATTGTGATCTTCCTTCCTTTTGAGTTGAATCTTGCCGTCATGGTCCTGGATGAAATTGGTTTCCATTCCATTAGAACTTTGGCTGCCACTGATGACATCATGATAGCCACTCACTGCCTCAGTGTGCTCTTGGTTGTCGTCTAGGTGATAAAACCGGAGTAGATTACTGACTCTCCATCTGCTCTCGCAGATACCCAGCACTTCTAAGCCATATCTTCGCATTTCTTTGGCTACCTGAGCAGCCTTCCTAGTCTCGTGCATTGTACGTACATCCCACATCCCCATTCTTATTCTTGCTTTAATCGAGAGAAGACACATTGGCTGGCTGACAGGCTTAGGAAAGGCTTTCACCAGCCCGCTGTGTCTCTTCGCCTCTCTGATTCCAACGAAGAATATGCTTATTTTTTATATTTTTCTATTTTGAATATATTTTTTGTGTGTTGAAGTTTCTGTAGCAGTTTGATTGGTTTTGTGGTGTAGGGTTGCTAGCCCCACGCCCAGCCCTCCCTCTTTACTCGTGCTTGGAACCGGCTAGAAAACTAACATTCTTATTAACTGGGTGGAAATTGATGTGCCATACCAAAGTGTTCCCGTGATTGCTTTTGACTTTTACCGATGCAGGGTATTTTCATTGCCTTGTTAATACTGCCTCCACTGACTGCAGTTCGGATGGAACGAAGGATGAGTTCTACCAAAAGCTGTCTAGCTTGTTGCGGAAGGCTAAACGCTCAGATATGGTCGTTATAGCTGGTGACTTTAATGCTCAAATAGGGAAATTGTGTCAAACTGAGAAGGATGTCGGTGGCACCTATGGAGTTCCGTGCCAGCGAACCGACAACGGTGACCGTCTCCTACAGTTCTGTTCAGATAATCATTCGTTTCTTGTAAGCACTAACTACAAACACAAGGAGAGACACTATTTTACCTGGCGACCCCCTTCATCAAACCAACGCTGGACACAAATTGACCACATAGCAATAAACTATCGTTGGCGTGGGTCGGTAGGAGATTGTCGCTCCTTCTGGAACACGTGTGTAGATACCGATCACGCACTTTCCGCTCTCGGGTGTGCTTACGCCTGATGCAAAACTTAAAAGGAAGAGTTTGTAGACATGTGGTAGACATGCAGTATCGTTAATAATACTATTCTCCTGAAGGAAAACACCCCACAGTTGACCAACTGTATGTGTGTCTACCATTTTACCTGTTGTTGCGGAGCTGGGTACATAGATCTTTAGACGAAAGTTTGATTCTAGTATACTACGTTTCAAGAGTGTGTACTCTAATTCCATCGAGAATTGAAGTCGTGATCATATAGTTGCTGAGTAAGCATGTTTACCACCCATTCATTGGATTGAAGTCAGTCAAATCTTCACAAACACAACTTCTGATTAATTACAACACTATTTAGGGTTACAATCAGTGATTTAGTGAAACCTAACTATAAAGCATTCATGTATAAAGAACATATACAAATACTTAAGTCATCTATATATAAATTGATAAGTAAATGTGTGATCAGATTGCTCAAAATGTATTGTACAAAATACATCACATTTTTCAGATAATCTCCGTCTCCTAACAATACTAAGTTATCTTATTAAAAAAGAATAGTAAACACACTAGTCTAACAATTTTTATTGTTATTATTTCCACATTTTCGGACAGCAAGTGTTTGTCAGAATAACAAAAATGCTACTGAGGATGATCATGTTGTTCACTACCCTTATATTGGGCTGATTTTCGAACCTTTATGTGTTGAATAACTCGATGTTGTTGATGTATTTTCAGAATGTGCGTCCCATGATACTCTTCCATGAGATGATAATAATTCTGTACGTGTAGCAAACATATTACGATAGGATTGTGTAAAGTTTATCACTGATCTATTCTTTATTGTACATTTACGTTTTTGTGAGTCATCAAACAACGGTTTTAGCATGATATCAAACATTTGACTTAATTTCATCATTGGATAATTATTCTTATATTTCTCACTAGATAAAACTCTAAGGAAATCTGGCAGAAATTTTTCAATATATAAATCAACGGACATTAATGACCGGTAATTTGAAATAGCATAAAATGTAGCACTATGTATTCCACGTATATTTAAATATGGCAGACAAGTTTGTGTTAAACAATCAACTACTTTAGTTGTAGTTAATAAAAGAAATGAATGTCTTTCACCAATACATCCTTGATAGAGCGTAAAACGAGAGATTTGCGCATAAATAAATGCTTTCAGTGCACCCATTTGTTCATCGGGTGTTAGTGTATCATAAAATCGTAATGTGCCGTAAACACCTGGAAAACATTGTTCACTATAGCCAATTGTAGTCTTTTTATGTGGTTTCTTAGTTGACAGATTTCTTATATTACTGGCAGACATGATGATTATTTTAGAAGGTCACTTTGACATATTGATTTCTGTTTCCTTTTAAAATTATCTTTTATTTATACGTATATTTCTCAAGTCATATGACTCTAGATAATGTTATTTCAACAGTTAGATTGTGTAAGATGTACAGAAGATACTGTATTATTATTATTGTTTCCTTTAGTTCCTAGAGGAACATAGGGCTTCAGTCGAACGTCTCCATTACGTTCGGTTATCTGCCAGCGTTTTCACCTGGCTCCACGTCTGACCACATGCTTTCATCTCCTCTTCACATGACTTCCTTCATGTCACCCTCGCACTGACGACCAACTCATCGCTTCCTATTCGGGTTCCAATCGAGCGGTGGCCCGTCGTGTGATGTCACTTGATGGTTTGTTTTCTCAGAGTATGGCCAACCCACCTCCATTTCTTCCTGTATATTTGTTGCACAATCGATTCCTGCTGGATTGGTTGGCTGATTGTCAGAGACTCCTGTTGCTGATTTTTCTGGCCGGCCATCCGATCTTGAGTATTGAGTGTCTGTCAAATCACTAATATCATGGAGACCCATATATCGAATAGGACAGAAATTATTCATCTAAATGGTGCTTATCCTCTGAGTAAAATGCAATGGATACGCAACTAGGACTTAACCGTACATTATTCACAAAAAAGATAAAAATGAAAAACTGTCATTTTGTTGCGTATTCATTTTGCCAACTGGATGATAATCATTTGATCAAATAAAACCCAGCAGACGGGCAGTACATCTTACTCGGGAGATCACTAGTCTGATGACTGTAAAGCTCAAATATTGGACTCAAGTGTTCGTTTTCACGTTCTCCAAACTCGGTATGTAAAGCCTCAGTTTCAGTTAATGATAACTCCAACAGAACATCCAAAACTCTTGATGTTAATGCTCAGCGGGAATATGAAGAGGGAAATGTTAAGAAGAAAGGATTCTGGATAAACGCATTCCTTCAATAACCTTCTACAGAGCTGCGTAAATCTATGAACAGTGACTTAGTTTAGCCGGTATTCGAATAAATCATAGAAAAGTGAACAGTTTAGTTTTCGTGTCTCATATACAAAAAGAATAAGAGAGAAGAAAGTCAAACAAATAAAATGCAGAACAGAATAAATTTATTTAAGTACGTTGGAAGGGCACAGACAAAACAAATCAGCGAAACAATTTTCGAGAAGGACGGTAATTCAGTCACCTCTTAGCATCGACTACAGGAACATTGGAAGCAACACTTTGAGGAGAAATTCAACTGGCCCACAGTCATGCTGAATTTTTCCAACATCTAAAACTCCTACCTGAATGCGATGTATACATTCATCTCCCAACTGCAGTGGGAGTTTCAAAAGCTGTTTTTAATTTAAAACGTGGCAGAGTAGCTGAACTTGACGGTGGTGATTAACTATTGACCACGTTAACTAAGATATTAGACTGTGTGTGGAAATCTGAGACACTCCCATGGGATTGGTAAATATAATGGGTTATTCCAGTTTATAGGGGGGAAAAACCTTCTCTTGATTAGCATAGTATCTAGGACTCTAGGTTCAATAATCATCTGTAGTCTAAGCAGTGTTCATGAGAAACAGACCTACGAGAACGAGTAGAGCTTTGGTACACTAAAAGGGTGTGTTGATCATAACTTCACCCTTCAACAGAATCTGCAACGTAAGCAGTAGACTTACCAGTGTCCAACAACAGACATATTTCTTGATCTGAAAGCGACATTTGACTCCACTGGCCGATAAGTATTGTGGCAACATCTGTCAGTGAAGGAAGAGACGAGAAGGTACAGAGCATGGATCAAGGTACTCTACTCGAACTCACACAGTCATATAAGAGCTTAATTGCTGTTATCATCTGTATTGAAGGTAACTAGTATGCCGATGACATTGCCCTCTATGTGAAGACTCTCGAGAATTGAAGTCTTTTGAACACCTTCTTCAGAAATCTTGCTGTTTGACATATGATTCGCCCCTGTCAGATGTAAGATGATGCTGTGGGGCTGGTTTACAGCGACTATTAGTTTAAAGATAGGAAGTGAAATAGTCGGGTGTGTAGACCACTTCAGTTAGTTGGGAAGCTGTATTAACCGTAACAGACTGATTGTTCATGGAATCTTGGCACGAATGCAAAAGTCTAGTGTAGCACTCGACAACTTACGACAAATGTGAATTAGACATCTGTGGTACACATCAGTAGCAGCAGTTGAAATTCCAAACGAATGGAACCTGGTTTGTGCGTTCACAGAAGGAAGCAGCTATTAATCTGCCTTTGCCCTAGTAAACGCCTTCCTGTTAGTTCAGTTGAACTCAGCAAATTACCATTCAATTTACTGGTCATTTATCACCAACTCATAAATCTTTTGTCTTTCTAATACAACTCCTTTTTCAGGGAATCAACACGAATTTTATTGGCCTGACTCTTCTATATAGAGGATAAATGAATGTAACTTCTAACCAAAATTGTTTATTTTAGAGTTTTCTGTTAACTAACATGATGTCATCTTTTTAATAACGTTAAAAATTTCTGCAGGCTTATGAGTAAAATATCGTAGATTGCATTTGACTTAGAAGAAACAAACTAAATAAACTGATACCAACTTAATCTGATCCAATTGTATTTGTTTCTATTTTATTTCTAATTCTCATCAGAAAATGTCAAACAGTTTACATCAAATAACTTAATAAACAGTAAAAATATTTGATTTTCACTTACACGACATAAGTCAAATGAATTCTTTTCCCTTGTTAAATATAAAATGCTTTCAATAGCTGGTTTTCTTTTGCAATTTTGTTTGTTGATTGGAGATAAAAAATAACATGTGACAGTGGTAATCATCCATTGTGGCAACCAATCAGGATATATATATATATATATATATATATATATATATATATATATATATATATATATATATATAACTACTGTTTTAATTCAATTGATAAACAATAAGACAGGTGAAGAACCTGATGTGCTCATGTGGTTTATTTTGACAATATTCATTGTACTACATATAAACAAGATTTTCAGATGCACTTATCGTAGATTCCAGTGTGTATTAATTTTCAAATGTTGGCTTGTAGAGTTTTGATTGATTTCAAGTTTTGACCACGGACGTAAAAATGACCCTACGAGGGATTGAACCCAAGGCCTTCAGGTCATGAAATGCGCTCGTAGACTATTTAGCCACTAGCATGAAATCCAGTGGCCTATCAATTCTAACTTCTGCCAATTCGCGATCCAGCAAGACTACCAACCAATGTCACCAGCGAGTATTTTTCCTTGCACCCAACCTTGCGGACCTCGCTGGTAACAACTTCCCACTAGAACTTCAGGCAACTTCATCCTGAAGTGAGTCACTGAGGTCAGTCCGTTATCAATTCTTAAATTAATCAAATCATTTAAAGCTAAAAATTGAGAACTAACCTAGTGTTCACCGGTGGATGACTACATGATGAAGTTGCCTGAAGTTCAGCAGAGTTCACCAAATTACTTGTGAGGACAAATACACACCAACAACATTGGCCGGTGGAGGTAATACATTTCGCGAAATGGTAGAATTTAGAGTTGATAAGCCTTAGAATTCGAATTCAGTGGCTGGATATTCAACGAGCACACCTTTTAACCCAAAAGTCCTAGGTGCGATCTCTGGTAGGGTTATGAGTGTGAACACAGTTATCCTAATGCTTTGGAACAGTCTAGCTAATGCAAAATCCAGATATCTCTTCATTACCTCGTAATTTTGACTTTATGTCTATCAACCGACAAAATACTGCTTAAAATAGCAATTAACACTAGCAGCGTTGAAAAGAGTAAATTTTCCATTATGTGTATGTAAAATAAAGGACTAATTCGTAAAGTTAATATTAAATTAATCGTAGAATCTAGCCTGTTCCAAGACACCGTTTATTAGAATGGGTTGGCATGAAGCACACAAATTAACTTTCTCAGTGATTCGCATGTTAGTATCGCCAGTACAAAAAATTAAAAACCTGCGCTGTCTGAAGGAATCAATACAGAAAGGCCTTTGAGAACCTAGCTGGTACCTCAAACTTGGCGGAAGACATTACCATACAACTTTCATGCCCTCTTCGGAAAAAGTCATCTCATCACTTAGCGGCCTGTTTGACATCTGGGCTACCTTTCCGTACATCTACATATTGCATCTAATACATCATGTTTTCATTTTTAATTTTTACAAAACATGATCACAAATCGTATCAAATACAGTAATGAATTCATTAAACGTTTTAAACCATATGACTTTCATGCATCTAACAAAACTAAGAGAAAGCATCATGGTGGTTGGCAACGTGCTCTCAAACGGACACCTGTATATCGCACAACTATTCCTGTTATTGTCAGTTCAAACTGCCGTTCACTTCCCGACAATTATGAATCTCCAGTCTCTCTTATCATCTGATACTTATCACAATACGGCGATTGTTGCATTACAAGAAACATGGCTCCATGATCTTTATGATGACAACCTGCTTTCTCTAAATGGTTTTACATTGTTTAGACAAGATCGAATATGCTCCGGAAAGAAAAGAGGTGGAGGTGTTTCAACTTTCATTCATTCTCAATGGTCGACTTCAAATAATGTATGTTTTTCTTTCTCTCGTGACTTTATTGATTGCATAACAGTCAAATGTCGTCCGAAACACATATTCAAGTTTAAATACGTCATCTCCAACACTTATTTTACTCCTGGCTGTTCCGCCTCGGATTTACCTGATTTTGCCGAAGTATTCACTGAATTCGCCATTACACATCGCGAAAACTCTTTAACAGTTGTCACAGGAGATTTCAATTCCTTTTTCTTGAATCATTAGGTCATGTCAATATTGTTAAATTTCCTACTCGACTTGATAAAACACTGGATCTAGTATTTATTAATGACGCGGAGATATATGAAGCACGCAGGCGTGCTCCTATAATGAACTCTGATCATTGTATTATTCGGATATTACCTAAGATATATAGCAGATCTCACTCTAATATCCTCTCTAATCTGTCCAGAAAAACACAACAAACATGTTACTAACAGGATAATGCGCTCAAACTAAGATGTATGATAAAAGACACAAACTGGGAACTTTTCACCGAACACACACTGGATGATACTATTTCCAATCTGACTGACTATCTTAAATTCTGCCTTGATATTTGCTGTCCAAAATACATACTTTTCAGGAGTATGGACCGTTTCTCTTCCCCTCATCTTAAAAAGCTTAGAAGAGAAAAAGAGAGACTGTACAAGACTAGGGATAAATCTGGTCTTAGGAGGATAAACATGCAAATTAAATCCGAAATCATGAGGCTAAACGATATTTATAATCAAAGTGTCTTGTAAAACTCCAGGAAACATGTGGAAGCTTTTCAGGGAAATTACAGGTTGCGGTAAGCATAATATTTTTGCCCCTTTTATTGATGTAAATACTCTTAATAGTTCTTTTATCCGCCCTCCTAATGTCCCTTTTAGCTTCAATGTAACTAATAATATGACCAGTGACTTTCAGAGTTTCAATACTTCCGATGCTCTTAAATGTTTAAAATCTCTTAAACCTTCCCAGAGTCTAGGCCTTGATGTTATATCCGCCATTGTCCTAAGAAAATGTGCTTATATTTTAAGTAACCCACTTACAAACATTTTCAATACTTTAATCGGTGGATGGTGACTAGCAGTGCAATCCAGGATGCGCATTTCATCCTATTTGGGACTCGTTATCTGGATGTACCTGCATTCCTCAGTGAGTAATGATGTTCCCATCGAGGCTCGAACCCAGTGCCCATAGTTTCAAACGGCAAAGCATTATCCACTATACCACTTGAGCCACCTCTTGTGCAACGGGTCATATTAATTTAATTGAATTTGAGAAATGCAGGTACATCCAGATGACGAGTCCCAAATAGGACGAAATGCGCATCCTGGATTCCACTGCTAGCCACCATCCACCAATTAAATGCCCAGACATCGTCGAAGCATCTGCACAAGAAGCCGACATGTCAACCTGAGACCGAGCACTTCGATCCAATCAATCGACGGGAAAATCTCAAATTCAATTAAATTTTCAATACTTCTTTTTCTAATAATGTTTTACCTTCTCTGTGGAAAGATATTAAAATCCTCCCTGTACCCAAGTCTGGTTCTGGAAATAGTGTAAAGTTTAGACCAATTACCATTACCTCTCCTTTTTGAAACTGATGGAGAAATTACTGTTACAAAAACTCATTCCCTCCCTAAGCTTTTCAAACGATCCAAAGCAGTTTGCTTACAAACAGGGTAGAAGTACTTTAGACGCTGCTGCTGTGTTTCATCACAACATTGTATCCTCCTTAGACAAAAGTGCCAAGTATGTCCGTTGTACGTTCCTTGATTATACATCTGCTTTCGACTCTGTACCTAGAGGCCTTTTGTTAAACAAGCTTAGCCTTACACAAACTGAGTCCTGGGCTATCGACTGGCTGCACTCTTACTTCTCTAATAGGATGCAGTACAAGGTATATAATGGTGTATCTTCCTCTCCTTCGCTTACTGAAACTGGAGTTCCTTAGGGTGCAGTTCTTTCTCCGTTTCTCTTTTCCTTCTTCTTACATGACTTACCTTTTTCAGACGAAATCAACTTCGTCAAATATGCAGATGACCTGACTGTTAAGTCTTCCCGTTAGGTCTTAGTCAGACTGTTTCAAATTAAATAGATTCCTGTCGGACATCAGTCAACGATCTAAACTAAATGGCCTCATGCTGAATCCCTCAAAATGCAAGACTATTGACTTCTCCTTTAGGCATAAACGAGATCTACAAACACTAGTAAGCACTCATGAAGCCTGTAGCATTGAGGGAACTAAAATTGAAACTAAGTCTAATGCAAAATACTTCGGTCTAGTTCTATCTTCCGACCTTACTTGGCCATCTCATATCCTAACGATTTCTAAGAAAGTGTTTCGTCTAACCTACTACATTAAGAAACTTAGACTATCTGGAATCACCCAATCTCTACTTTCACAATTTGTCCACTCTCGTATCTTACCTATCCTACTTTACTGCTCCCCGTTAGTGTTTCCTGGGTTACTGAAAAAAGACTATACCAACCTGAGAAGGATGTTGAAGATAGTTAGTAGGACTAGTGGTGTAAAACTCAGTCAGCTCGTCACTACATTAGTAGATAAGCATCTGAATACATGCGAAAAATGGTCTAAAACCATACTCTCCGACCCCCAGCACCCCGTCTATTCCCAACTCTCTCTCCTTGTTTCTCATCAGGTAGAACCAGAAATCAGTACAAAATAATAAATGCTCGTACAACCAAGTATAGGAACTCAATGATACCAGATTTGGTCCGTATTCTAAGTGATAGAGACAATGTTAAACGCGAAATCTATGACTTGCTTTGTTGTTAATAACATAATTTTAGCCCTTGTTATTTCCCCTTATATTCTCTTATTTGTACTCTGAACAACCTTCTTAAACATACTTAGCTACTTAATATTATTATCATTGGCTTACTTTTTTGTACTTGACTCTATTCCTTCTTTTGTGTATCTACTGGGTCCGACTACATTATCACTATGAGTATTAAAAAATTCTCCTGTCATTAAACATCATGTAATATTAGTTTTGTGATTTTTTTTTTGTTCGGCAATATGAACTGGCAACCTTGGTTGTGAACGCCGTTATCACCGTCCTAAAATTTTTGTATTATCCATGATTACTCACACTACCACAACAAACACTGGATTAGTGCTGACACAAAAAACTGAAATGTTTCTTTTATGATTGTTTACTGTTCAATCAAATTAACTGCTAGTCTTGGCTATAAACATTCTTAATATCATTTCATAACTTCTTGTATGATATACTTTTACCGTTTACCACGAATAAACAACTTCCACTACCCAATACTGAGATACTATTTGTAATGTATTTGGCTTTCCATTCCACTTCTTCGTATTTTTTTTCGCATCTTTTTCCTACTTTCTGCTTATTTAATTGTTGTTGTTGTTGTTTTTCATACTGATTTTTTGAAATACTCCCTTTAAGTGTTTGATAAAATTAGATACAATATTCTAGATCAGTGCTGAACATTCCACACAGCACAACCAGTACTGTTTCCGTAATAAAGCAAATTATCACTATCATTATAAAAAATGTCTTCCTTTGAAGGACAACCACATAACATTCTTCAAAACAAATATATAATGCGAAACACAATCCATCATTTAGGTATAACCACTAGCATATGTCTATTATCAACACTCATCTTGAATGCTGCACTTTTACTATCTGAATACGTCTGTGTTTTCTAAGTAAGATTTAATCATTACTGGAGATATTGTAGACAATCAACTCCATGTAATTACTTATCTGATCTGATTTTGTTATTCCTTTTCGTTCCTAGTGGAACATAAGGCTTCAAGCTAGAGACTTGAAGTTTCAGGAGCAGTGGTATTTATTTTTACACGATGGGTCGCTAGCCTCATGCCCAACCTTCCCTCTTTAGCAGCCTTATTACTAGCTAAGCGAGGTTAAGGAGTGAGTCGGCCGAAGATCGAAACCCGAACCACATACGTGGTTGGCGAGTATTCTACTAACGCAAAGCACCAACAAAATAGGGATGGATTGAACACGCACGCACTGAGGAGACCGTTGACTGGAATTGTGCGCTAGGTCCTTGAGTGGAACCTGAATGGGAAAAGACAAGTTGGGAGGTCGTGTGAGGATAAGAGCTCATATAGGCAACCGTGGAGCGAGCTGGAGACGAATGTAGGTAGCAGAATGAAATAGAGATATGCTGTTGAAGAGTTGTGTTCAACTCGGAACCGATGGCAATAATATTAGTATGATAAACAGGTGATATTTTTAAGAGCTAAATGAAAACTTTACACTGGTCAATATACCTTTACAATAACTATGAACTAAATGATATGGGTCTTATTATGATGTAATCCAATGAGTCATAGAATATTTCAACTGTATTATGCAATCTTATACACCTATCATTGTACTCTTATCACTTTTTAGAATGTTATTTTCGTACTGGATCGACATCAATTAGTGGTGGATACCTGATAACCAAAAGGCAGTGATTTATGGATTATTTGTCATTCTTTAGCAAGATAATCCGCACAATGATATGTAGGATCAAATCTAGCAAGGTTATTATTGAAATTCATTGATTGACACACTTTTTTCAAATGTCAATGTTTAATAAACTGACGCAATTATCAAATGTTACCGGTGCATGAATTCTGTCCTCAAATATGCTTTGATTTATCCCACTAACGGTAGTTTTTTTCTTATTACTGAAAGCTAATCACCAAAGAGCATCACGTGGTTATTAAGTCGTAGCGTTTGACTACACTTTAGTTCCTTTCACAAGAACCAATTAAGTCTTTTTAAATCCTTTGAACTGCCCAATTTTCTACAAAGCAAAATGTGTCAAATTTACCCAGTTATACTTTTGTTTTAACCGTCTTCTTACCGCCTTTAAGGAGAACCTGTAATCATGTGAATTTTTGAATGACTTTCAACAAATCGACAGGTCTAACTCTGTTGTGAAGGCCCAAATACAACAAGGATCACAACATGTTTCAGATAGAACAGGATTCTATTTATTAATATACTGTAGATTACTCTTTTACTTGAAAATTCTGTACGAGGAGTAGACCAAAATAATCTGAAAATTTTATACTTTATATAAAGATGTCGTTTAGAATAAAGCTATTATTAATACCATTAAAAATCAAGATCAATCTTCAATTCACGTTGGAAGAAGTTTTCTTCATAATGAAGTTAATAGAAGAATAATTAGGAAAAAAGCAACTATGCACACTTCAGCACAATCTTCTCTTCTTTCACCTACCATCATCAACACCTTTTTCTAATTGTAAAGTTAACCGAACAAGATCTTCAGGTAGAAATTCCTCATCACCTTCAACATTATCTCTTGTCCCTATAGCACAATAGATTAGTGGTGTGGTACTTCGTTGAAGTATTGGTAAAGATATATCTGATGAATTATGATGAATACATGACTCTTTATTCATAGAACTAGACAGTGAATTTTGACATGTTGGCGGCCTATACAATCGACTTTTCCCACGTGATTTCAGTGTACATGAAATAGACAATGGTATTGTTCCAATTATTAAACCTTCTGGGAATAATTTCCATGCCACCTAAACAAACAATAAGAATAAGAACCATTTTCTGTATCCACAAGATTGATGTTATTCAGGTTTTCACAGTCATTTACTGTATACCAAGAAATCTTAGCTTCGCCTCAAGATTTCGATTATTACATATTGCTGAGGCTGTTGGGATCCACATTAAGAAGCCTAATGTATGTGTCGAATAGAAGCTGGTTCAGACATTGTCCTTACCTTGGCCATCTAGGTTCGAACGTTCCTCAATTTTATGTAGAAATTTAGCTAATTTTAGTTGATATTCTGTTTCTATTCAATTTTTTATTATCGTTATAAGTTAAGCATTTACAATGAACTGTAATTCGATTGTGATCTTACTTTACAAGTCGATACTATTATTAAAAAAACACTAATTTTGTTATTGACCACTATTCTCGAATATCGTGTGTATACAAACATATATATACATATAATTGTAGAGCTAGAAGAGAAAATTATCGAGAAGGATATTCTCTGCTTAATTATTTTGTGTTTTATAAATATACTGTAGAAAATAGAGACGGATTGAACACGCACGCACTGAGGAGACCGTTGACTGGAATTGTGCGCTAGGTCCTCTCGCTGACCATGCACATGGTTGGGGGTTCGAGCCCCTGCCGACGCACACCTGGTATATATGGTCGGCCTGCAAAATTTGGGCCACCTATATCACATGCTGAAAATTCCATACCTGTACCAAAAAATACGGTGTGGAATCAAGCTGAAATCAGAAATAAACCTGAATGGGAAACGACGAGTTGGGTGTCGCCTTGAGGTTGATATGAAGGAGATCGTGTGAGAATAAGAGCGCATATGAGCAATTGCGGAGCCATCTAAAGACGATTGCTGGTAGTACTAATGAATGTGCATTTGCGTAAATAACTGTAGGAAAGCGTATGAAATTACTCATTTGATATTAAAATAGATAGAATAGGTAAAAACCGTAATAGGCCTATGTTCTAAGTTGACAATATAAGCTAGTCTCAATGTTTTCCTTCTTCACCATTCCACCAGGGTTACATAAGCTGATCCAATATGACTAACTATAATAAACCTTTGCTGAAATAAACATTTTAAACTATGAAGAAAGTCCATTTTTACCTTTATGATTTCTTTTTTTGATTACAGCTTGATTCCACACCGTATTTTTGGTACAGGTATGGAATTTTCAGAATATGATGTCGGTATCCCAAATTTTGCAGGCCGACCATAGATATCAAGTGTGCGTCGGTAGGGGATCGAACCTCGGACTATGTGCATGGTAGGCGAGAGTCCTAACCACTATGCCACCGACACACAAGTATCTTTATCTTTCTCCTTTATCAGTTCTAGCCTCCTGTGTTCTGTTTATCTGCATTAATCGATTGTATCCAATTTTATAATCTACGCAGAAAATATTATTATATATTCCTTAATTTAAAAAGGGAAAGAGAATAGATTGAATGAATAAGGGAAGAAAAACTGAAATAAGTGACATGTGAGGGGAAAGACATGACACCTGTTCAAACTGGGAAAACAAGTAAATGAGCAGAAAGTATTAAGCTGAGTAACAAAAAATGTATTCAAAAGAATATATGAGACAAAGTGAGAAGGGAGCATACAAGATTAGGGGGAATAAGAAATAACACAAGAAAGCAGAGGATGATGGCAAGAAGAAACATGTATCCGTACTGAATATACAATACATGTATATTTTCACAAATGTGTTATGCAATCACATGTGTAACTGAATGGATGAAATATTTAAATTATGTATATATTGCGATAATGATGATATTAATTATAACCATGGCGATAAAACCCATGAAACTATCACACATAAAAAGTTACGTTAACATGAAAGTACACAAGAGTGAGTTACCTTCACACACTGACATATTGATGAATATATACTCACATTCACACATAGAAGTTCTAGTAAAACTTCTACTTCGAAGCAAACATACTTCATTACTACCTGATATCTTTTTATAGACACTTATTCAATCAATGCATTCTTGTTAATATTCTTTAACGAAATGGTTTCCGATCACCAGAGGCTGAGTAACGCATCGATGATATAGTACTACGTGCATAATTTGATCTGACAGAACGTCCTGAACCAAAGAAATAAATACATAAAAAGTCTATTGAACAAGTAAATGTTATCATTAAAAATTCAACTAGACGGTTGAAACAAATAGTACATTAAAGGAGTACAATAAAATAATCGAATTACTTTCGACGGAGAAATACATAAAAAAGTCTACTTTGTGTGTGATTTAGCTGATTAGTACGTGATTAGTACGACCAATGAAGGTGAAGTCATGGAAGTCGAAAGCGTATATTTATCATGTGTGATATTTATATATTTATACAAAGATATAAGTAGTACTTAGAGTAAATTATTAATCACACAAGCATCAGTAATTTGTGTCAATAAGTAAATGAAAAAATGAGTGAAAAGCATGAAAACACTGAGAAGAATCAAGTGACGGCAAAGCATTCCCCTTAATTCACCAGTTTTAATGGACCAGTATTACTAGCCTGCGGCAGTAAATTTTGTTTGGTAGTCATATCCAGAAAGCAGACTTCAGAGTTAGCCATAAGAAATTACACCTTTGTGGTTTTATGATAGTATATGTAGCGTATTTCATCAAAAATGCTTCGTTTTTACTAATATCATTTAAAATGGTATATTCGGCGAGTGGGCTTTAACATCACTCGAAAAATTTCATAAGAAGTAGATGAGGAAGATATTATTACTATTACTATTATTATTATTATTAATGTAAGAGTACAATTTTGGCGCTTTCCATTGTTTGTAAGCTGTGACATTAATATAAGGTTTGTGATTTTTTTCTAAATGAACACCACTTTTTCCCTCACCAGTTGTCTTCACCTGATATTCGCTTGGCATTATTTCATATTTTAAGGAACTTAGATCAAAATTATTAGTTTACCGTCCTTCTTTATAACACGACCTGTCGTTCAGACGCATATTAGTAAAATGTTCTACCTCTTTTCTGCAATAGAAATTATTCCTCTTCATTTTTGTGAGTCATTGTGCACAAGAGAGCTTAAATAATACAATGTGCTATATACATCGTCAGTTCATAACTTTCTCGTGTCTTACTGATTCAGCATGATTAGGATTGACAAAAGAGGACTTAGATGGAAAGCTAGTATCTCATAAACAGACAGCAGTGTGTCATTCACTGACAACATTTGGGTTGGATCTCTCAACCTAGATGCTAGACAGACGGGCTAATAGTTGGGAGACAGTCGGTTTCAGTTCTGTGCCGAAACCCATATTTTCGCTTAACCTTAAATCGTCACCCATTGCATCAATAACATTCCTCTTTAACAACGATTACCTCAGACAGTCACAGTATCTTAATTGAGCTGTTAGAAAAAAGTTTCCCTTATTAATTTCACTGTCTTGCAATTGTAATTGCCCACTCATGGGTAAGCACAGAACAGTGAAGTCGAAAATTAAGACCAAAACAAGGTATCGAGTGACGGTAAAAGCTGTTCATTATTAATAAAAATACGTTTATAAGATGAAATCTCCTAGCTTTGTGGACTCTTTAAAGAGGTGATATAATAAATAATATCTTCTTTTGAGGAACAATTCTATTCATCAATACAAGCATATGATGAAGTGCAACACAAAACTAGAAACTACATATAACTACACACATACACCTATAAACAAAGCAACAGTATAAAAGTTGATTGCAGCCATAACCACTTGAAGCATAACAAGTTGGGTTCAGTTTGAAAGAAATAAATACATTCAAAATAAGAAAAAACTTGTTTGTGAGAGTACAGCAGAACTCTAAACTGCAAAACTTGTTCATTTCAAAGGCAGATACTTCATCAATAATCTGTCGAATATTACTCTTCATTCAACAGATTCAAAGGAAATTCTTTGATCTTTGTTATGCAAATTTGATCATAATTCAAATGAGGATATACTGAAATTGAGAACTAATGCGGGCCTGTTTTTCACGAGTTTGGGATTCTTCATAAGTGTGCAAAAACAATCAATGTAGGAGTAACCACATGAATGACAAGTCTTATTATTCTATGCATACGATGAAATAAGTCGGTGTATTCTAGTTTTCCCAGTACATTTAACATTTATTTGATAATAAATGTGCTAAGAAGATTTCAAACTTATTCCAAACATTTAGGTATAACCACTAGAATATGTCTATTATCAACACTCATCTTGAATGCTGCACTTTTACTATCTGAATACGTCTGTGTTTTCTAAGTAAGATTTAATCATTACTGGAGATATTGTAGACAATCAACTCCATGTAATTACTTATCTGATCTGATTTTGTTATTCCTTTTCGTTCCTAGTGGAACATAAGGCTTCAAGCTAGAGACTTGAAGTTTCAGGAGCAGTGGTATTTATTTTTACACGATGGGTCGCTAGCCTCATGCCCAACCTTCCCTCTTTAGCAGCCTTATTACTAGCTAAGCGAGGTTAAGGAGTGAGTCGGCCGAAGATCGAAACCCGAACCACATACGTGGTTGGCGAGTATTCTACTAACGCAAAGCACCAACAAAATAGGGATGGATTGAACACGCACGCACTGAGGAGACCGTTGACTGGAATTGTGCGCTAGGTCCTTGAGTGGAACCTGAATGGGAAAAGACAAGTTGGGAGGTCGTGTGAGGATAAGAGCTCATATAGGCAACCGTGGAGCGAGCTGGAGACGAATGTAGGTAGCAGAATGAAATAGAGATATGCTGTTGAAGAGTTGTGTTCAACTCGGAACCGATGGCAATAATATTAGTATGATAAACAGGTGATATTTTTAAGAGCTAAATGAAAACTTTACACTGGTCAATATACCTTTACAATAACTATGAACTAAATGATATGGGTCTTATTATGATGTAATCCAATGAGTCATAGAATATTTCAACTGTATTATGCAATCTTATACACCTATCATTGTACTCTTATCACTTTTTAGAATGTTATTTTCGTACTGGATCGACATCAATTAGTGGTGGATACCTGATAACCAAAAGGCAGTGATTTATGGATTATTTGTCATTCTTTAGCAAGATAATCCGCACAATGATATGTAGGATCAAATCTAGCAAGGTTATTATTGAAATTCATTGATTGACACACTTTTTTCAAATGTCAATGTTTAATAAACTGACGCAATTATCAAATGTTACCGGTGCATGAATTCTGTCCTCAAATATGCTTTGATTTATCCCACTAACGGTAGTTTTTTTCTTATTACTGAAAGCTAATCACCAAAGAGCATCACGTGGTTATTAAGTCGTAGCGTTTGACTACACTTTAGTTCCTTTCACAAGAACCAATTAAGTCTTTTTAAATCCTTTGAACTGCCCAATTTTCTACAAAGCAAAATGTGTCAAATTTACCCAGTTATACTTTTGTTTTAACCGTCTTCTTACCGCCTTTAAGGAGAACCTGTAATCATGTGAATTTTTGAATGACTTTCAACAAATCGACAGGTCTAACTCTGTTGTGAAGGCCCAAATACAACAAGGATCACAACATGTTTCAGATAGAACAGGATTCTATTTATTAATATACTGTAGATTACTCTTTTACTTGAAAATTCTGTACGAGGAGTAGACCAAAATAATCTGAAAATTTTATACTTTATATAAAGATGTCGTTTAGAATAAAGCTATTATTAATACCATTAAAAATCAAGATCAATCTTCAATTCACGTTGGAAGAAGTTTTCTTCATAATGAAGTTAATAGAAGAATAATTAGGAAAAAAGCAACTATGCACACTTCAGCACAATCTTCTCTTCTTTCACCTACCATCATCAACACCTTTTTCTAATTGTAAAGTTAACCGAACAAGATCTTCAGGTAGAAATTCCTCATCACCTTCAACATTATCTCTTGTCCCTATAGCACAATAGATTAGTGGTGTGGTACTTCGTTGAAGTATTGGTAAAGATATATCTGATGAATTATGATGAATACATGACTCTTTATTCATAGAACTAGACAGTGAATTTTGACATGTTGGCGGCCTATACAATCGACTTTTCCCACGTGATTTCAGTGTACATGAAATAGACAATGGTATTGTTCCAATTATTAAACCTTCTGGGAATAATTTCCATGCCACCTAAACAAACATTAATAAAGATAATTAAAGGGAAAAAAATAGAGGCTGTCAGGGCGAATGAATAGAAAATGATATTACTGTATTTCAAAAGCAAATATTTATTTTACAGTGTGTGATAGCAATCGAAGTGCGCTTTATCTAAGATTAGAAAGATACGACCTTTCAGACATCAGAAGCTGTTTCATTTAGGCATTCATAATGAAACGGAACTGCAACAGCACAGTGCAAAGTGTTTAGTCCTAATGATCACATTGTAACTTTATCGTTGGATGGCATGATACTAATTATGTGTTAGGCATTCACCAATGGGATTTTAAGAAATCATTTCAATCTTTTACCAGTTCTACCAGAAAGAACTACTTATTTAGTCATTAATAGTGAAATAAAGGCGAAGCTCTAATCTGCTGTAATTCCGGCTATTGATCGAAATCTCATAGGAAATGGTTAACTTCAAAGTTTAGGTTAACCAAATAAATTAGATCTGCTTATCAAGGTGTTCAGTCTGTGAGGATTTGACTGATTTCAAGGTTGATCTCATACAGATATTGACATCCAAAAATCAAGCAGCCCTCAATGTATGTTCCAACCTAGTAGTACGCAAATACCCGTCAACTGGGGACCAGACCTGTAAGTTTCACGATACGACAACATTTGATAGAAGTGGCGATATATCGCGAATAGACAAAGTCAAAATTCACTAGTCATCTGACTTGAAAATTTTTCATCTGACACCCTGAAGGTTCTGGGCTACCGTCGCAACCGAGTTGAAAATAATGAATGAAAAAAACACTAATAACTCGGGAGGTGAAATTTAATCAAAAACTGAAAAAGGTAATAAAAAACACATACTGATGAAATATTAAGAATTTGGTAAGAACAAGCTGTTTAAAGGAATAAAGAAAATAAGACATATGCAGCATAAAATCGAATGATTGCGGAACGCTAAATACAACCATCAAGTACTAAAATACCTCCTGATCTATGCATATTCAATAGCTATGGCATCATGGATCGTTATATATATATATATATATATATATATATATATATATCACCTTTCTCGACAAGCAATGTTAGATTGTATGGAGGATTTCACCATGAGCTGACATCAGTTAGAGAACCACTGGGAAACTTGGGAGTACTGGACAGCTGTTTCCTCCTAATCTGGGACTCTTCAGCAGTACGCACCCACCATAGAAGTTCGAACCCAGGACCTTCTGGTTACAAGGCGAGCTCGTAGACCATTGAGCCACTGGGACCCGATCCAATAGTTCTTGAATTCTAACTTCTGCCAGTTCACGAAAATATTCATGGGTGTTCAGATCAAAACATGACATCAGTCGATGAGTTCTTTGATTGTTGGTTTAAGCCAGATAGGGAAGTGTACAACACTTAACCGGGATCCTAGAGACGCGAATAATCAATGACTGAAGATTGTTGGTGATATGGCTCAAAATTAATGTCGATGGCGTAGACACATTCACACCGTCTTCCAGATTCGTCAGGATCCCATTATTATACACACAGTCACTCTTCCTCCCACACTTTCCCGTTTATTGCAGTTTTTTACATCTCTTTCTCTACTCATGGCAGTATTAACCAGAAAAACAAACAAACTCATTGAACATTCATAAATAAAAACCAGAAAATAGTGGAGTATGTGTAAGATCGTAGAAACAACTAGCTTACATTGAATTAGCTATTTATAACTGACCTTTAACCCACCAGACAACATGAATAAATTACAATATCCTCGTTGTACTAATGTGGTTGCAGCTCGCGGTGCTAAGCGTTCATCTTCATCATATATAATAATAATATGATCTGATCGATTACGATAGGCCAACATTTCGGTAGTTTCGAAATTCACACTACGTGATAACATTGCAATAGGATAATTACGAGCTTTATAATAATAATGAGGGAGAAAAGAAGATAGATGATATATTAAAGCACTCAACGAGGACAACAACAACGAAAATATCCTAATAAGAACGATTAGTGCTTTTTTTCTTCAGATTATTTAGAAAGAATAAACATTTTACTAACTAATTTGATGTAAAATAAACACTATTCACCGCTTCATTTGTGCAAGATAATTTGATACAAAATCCATAATCTCCCTGAAAGATTGGTCTCTTGTTTTACATAGAATACTTTTTTTAACAAATTTCATTGCAATTATTGAACTATCTGTACATAAATAGGTGTTCGGATGATGACAGACTCAAATTATTACAGGAATTCTCTTTAGATAGATCAGAGAAAAGAATCAAAATGGAAATTTGTACACAAAATGCAAATCAGTTGTTACGTGAACGTGAAAGAGTTTTCTTTTCGATTTTATACTTACTTCTTCCTTCTTGCTTAACAAGATGGGTGCGATATGAAATTTACTGTGTATTAAGTACTTTGCATACGTACATCCGAGTGCATTTACACCTAGTTCATTAATTCACTTCTACTTCTTCACCAGAGAAAATTGTTTCCACGATCTTGGGACAGAGTAGATGTCCATAAAAAATGATACAGTGAAACAATATTATAAACGCATCATACTTCAAGTAAAATTTATTTATCAAGGTGATGTGATGATGCGATAATGAGCAGTGAATTGTGCTTGAAATGTCATCAGTAAATAAGTTGTACTCTAATACTGTGTACTTTATCAAATTATTATATAATGAGAGTATTCAGGAAATTTAAAAACAAAACATACCTGTTATAATATGGCATGCATCGTACTCATCTCTGTCTCTTACATCGAGTAATAAATATGGATAATCTAGTAATGAAGTTAATCTCCCTGTTGAATCTGGAATCTGTGATCGTGATTGGCCAAAATACGTGTCGAATTCACCAATACCAGTAACAAGACTAAATTTAATGATTTTTATCACAGAAATAATTAAAAATGATGTATTAGAGCATGTTTAAAACCGTAATAATAGTGATAGATAATAACATTTATATTACTCGAAAATTCAACTTTGCTTTCATCAAACATTGAAACAATTAGTATTGCAGCTTTTTTTATTCGCAGTTGTGCAGACACAATACCAAGAAAGGAGAGAACACGAAGGTCAGCAAAGATATCTGCCTTTTCAGCGATTTCATTTTCAAAAGCTGTACAATCGCATTTAAGTATATAATTTTACATGGATACAATTCTTGTTTGATTCCACATAATTTTGACGACGAATAAAAGGTGACAGTCGTTTTCAACTAGATATGGTTTACGAGAGGCTTAGAAACAAAATTGCACAGGATGGAACGGATAACAAGCGTGTAAAAATGAGCATGGAAACAAAATTGAAAAAATAATTTTCAACATGAGATGGGAGTTAGGTGTGAATATTGATTACAAGAGCCTGAGAAACAAAAATTACACAGGACTAGGATATAATTGTAAAATAGTTATTTTAAACGAATTATAAATGTGAGCAGGAAAAGCATGGAAACAAACTTAAGATAACTATTCTCATAACTGAAAAAATGGAATGAATTGAATGAAGGCAGAGAGAAGTAATGATCACACACACAAACACACACAGTGAACGAAGAAAAATCAAAAAACTGGAGGTTAAGGGAACATACCGAACTAGGTCCATGGTAGTTGTAAAGGTTGGACTAGTTTCGTTTGAACACACAGCTTCGGCTTTTTGATGCATTTTGCGAGAGCTTCTACATTACAAAGAAGTCGGAAACATGCTACCTTTGGTAAGTTTCTGTTTACTTTGTAAATGATTTTGAATGTATCAGCTGAGATTGTTGTGGGAGGTGTTGATCAGATGTTCAATTATGACACTTCTGATTGAACTGGTGCCTCCACTTTGCAGCCATGCTGGGTAATGTTCTCTAACACGCTTTGAAAGGACGCGCATACAACGACCTATGTACCTAGCTCCGCGGGAGCAGGTGAACTGGTATATGCACATTGAATTGGTCATATGCGAGAGTTTGTCCTTCGCGTTGTTTCGAAGTATTGGACGGCTAGAGAATGTCACTTTTAGTGTTGCTGCAGGAAAGGTCTTCTTTAAAGAGCTGGATTTCTCCTCTTTAGGATATCAGCTGTCAAATCTCCCCTGAAATTCAGATTCATATACAGAGTTTTCTTCGGCGCTGAATTGCATTCTCCTCTTTCTGGTCTTGGTTTCATGTTCTTGTAGACAAAACGTGTCGGGTAACCATTTTGAGGCAGCAAATTTTTGAGGAATTGGAGCTACTCCGGCAAGCAATCACTGCTACAAAAGGGAACGACCAATAAACGAACTTCTATAGTTGGATGCTTTTGAGCCGAAAACGACCTCTCATTACCTCACTAACCCACCGCATTAGAAAAATCTGTAGCAGTGAGCTTCTAGCTACCAATACCAAATTAAAGAGCACAACAAAGTTGTTTTATTTCATTCAGACACAGCATGCAGACCTGTCTGGTATACTTTAATTAGTACTAAAGATTCCTCAAGTACAAAATTTATTACCCAATGGTCAATATACTCATACCTTTCAGGTCTAAAAGGCTCAGAGTTGTTAAGGTATGTTCCTCAGTGGCATAGACTGCAAAACTCTAGGGAAAATTAAATTTTCTTAAGGTTGTATAAAAATCGTACATCAATCACATAACTCAAGGGTAGTAATTTGTACACCTACTAACTGCCAAGGATATTAAAGCTACTGTATTATTTTTTTACTATAAGAAATTAAGATTGAAGTCACTCGGTTCTATGATAGATAATCCAAGTACATGAGGACGATTTTAAGTAAATTCCAATCTACCTAAAGATCTATGTATTTAAACAGGAAAGAAACATGCCGGATATCTTCAACCGAAAATATTTCCTATTCACTAGAGTTGATGAAGTTAAGATATTTACGATCGATGTTAACTTTGCAGCAGAAAAACTCTTTCTAGTTTTTATGCGTACCAATACATGACTAGTCTGGTAGTATCGGTATTGTGTCTACAAATTTTGTTCAATTTCTTGTATAGTTGCTCGGATAGTCTTTATAATCGGTTAATTTTAATATCACGACAAGTGTTTTTTCATAAAGAAAGTGTATGAATACGGTGAAAACATTACGAACAAATCATAGAGACGACAGGTTCTGAGTTTATATGTGTCGGATGCATATATCCTTAAAGCACACGGTTATGTAAATAAGTTGCTATCCTTGACAAACTGAATATGCATACAAATCCAGATAATTGTAACTGCACAGCTAAGTAAATGGAGTCGCTGAAAAGAGTCATTTTGCTGAACTATTTCTTCTTATTTGACCTATCTAGATAGGTATTAATCTTCTTGAATATTAGTTCTCGATTCATACACTTGGTAGGCATTTATGCATTCTAAGTCTTGCTGTCTCGTTAGTTTGTCCGTATACATATAAACGGGTAGACTTCTAAAGAAAGTAGTCCTCAAACGAGCGAAACATTCGTCTGGTGTTGACTTCGGTCTGGTTAATTAGCCGTACTGAATAACATGAGTAGATTCCAAATACTCATATGCGTCATAATCATATATCAACATTCTACTTTATTGTCCTAACTGTCATCTATGGTGTCATGAAGATCATAAATGGTGATCTAGGTTTCCAATGGAAAATGTGGAGAAATTTCACCACCGCATAACTTATAAACGGAAAATTTGAATTTGTGAACCTGGAACACATTTTGTGTCCATGCTACTAGTGGCCCGTTCTATCAGCTTTTTATGTACTGACCTCGTCAGTTTACTTCAATCAGTTCAATTTGACGATATGATCATAATCCCAGCAGACTACTATCTAGCCAGGCACAAAGTAGGCCTAGTGACAGCAGCAGTCCCATCAAAGGAACCATCTCCAGGGGTCCATAGATCGTCACCCTAGAAATATAGAATGCAAGACTCCATTGAAGATGTTAAAGTATCAGTTTTCACTTACAAGCTGGAAACCCAACAACGCTCCGCAAAATATTAGCTGAATATTTTTAAAATTAGTGGTGCAGAGCTTTTTCAAGCTAATTACAAATAGGCGGAAAGTTATCTTTCAGTGTTGATTTGTAGGGATTTGGTTGATTCTATTGTAGCAACAGAAAGCGAGACACGAGAGCCAAGGTATATTTTTCATTAATCGAACTGCTGTTTATATATATATATATATATATATATATATATATATAACATGTGATTTCGGCTTACATGAAACAGAGTGTTCAAATAGATATATCGTATTCTGTTGCTAATGCCGTACCGAACTGTGGGAATATGTGAGAATCATATTCCGTTGGAACAAATTGTCTGTATCACAGCACTACACTACGGCAGATTTGATCATGCACCTACATCCGTTAAAGAACCACTGAAAACCAGCCAGTACTTACCCAACTGTTTCGTCCCTAGTTTAGGACTCTTTTGAGGTTCTCATTCATACCCCCACCCTAAATTAATCCAGGACTTTTAGGTGAAATCTACCCTAATAAGTCATAACTCATAAAGATATTGCAGTTACTGTTCTCTCTCTCTCTCTGTGAGTGTGGTAGATCTCACACTACCCACTATGCTAAAAGGAGTGATATGTCTATACCCATTTTTGATTAAATGAAGACAGTAAATAATTTCAAGGATATAATGTTGAGCACCATTCAACATTGTAATTAGATATAATGTGCTAGAAGTCAGTCCCCAAGAAACCCTACTGGCTCACATCAATGAAGAATATCTGCAACATAAATGCAACGTAGGTTCTCTCAAATATTCAAACCCTTATCACTCAACATAGAAGTGAAGAACATTACTATTGACTGACTCCGGAACAAGTGAGTCAATAACATAGATGAATTCGTCGTTGGATAGTTATACTTGTCTAGTTCTGAATATCTTTACAAGTTCTATGTTAGTTGCTTATTAAACGATAATTTGAAATAAAATTTCAAACCAGGCAATAGTATAATATTTAATTGTGCTGCTAGAATAAATTTCTTTTTTGCCCTATTAACCACGGTTCCAATATGAGTCTACTTTATAATGAGCACAGCTTACAACTTCTTTACTGCACTTTACTTTAAGAATTATATAATATGCCATTTTGACGACTGAAATAATAATTTACCTCTTCTTCAGTAAAACCCTAATCATTGTAATATTCAAAGTTCGACTATTTACAAAAGTAAAGTCAATATTCTATACAAAGGCAACATTAATCAAACAGAGTTAATGGTGAGTGAATGAACAGAAATCATTCGAGGTTCATAACCCCATATATTAATTATTCACGCATATTTGCTCACTACAACTTATCCCAGCTATGTATACTCTGTTTGTTGTCAAGGCAGTCTGTATGTTTTGTTATGATGAATGTAATTAAATGGGAGTCTGAGTTACAGAATGATTTAAACTAATGAACAACTGATTAATTACAGTAGAACTTTGCACAAAACTGAATCAGTTGAATTTATCGCCCTTCAAAAAAGTACACAATTAAAGAACAAATAAGTAATGAAAATAAAAGGAATGAAGATGTACGGAAAATATTCATTGAATGCCGATTATTAAGTTTTCCGAATTTGTGAGATGAGAAGGGATGAATACATCTACATCAGTGTCCATGAACCATGTCAAAAACGGTTCCTATAAATTGACTCTTAGTATCCAGAAGGAGTTTAACCAGGTTATTTACATCTATTTACATGAACTAAACAGTCAGTGACTTTATCGATCTGATCACCCGTAAGTTTTTTCCAACGAAGTTGCACTCCAAATGAAATGGTTTCTACAAGAACGCAGGGGATGAACATGTAGAACGCGTATCGTAGGCATTTAAATCGATCGAGTTTGACAAAATTGTCTGCTGACTTATCCATTCTAACATATTACTATGCATCTAACCTCATTATTTTTCATCAGTTTACTCCACATAACATGAAAAATTGAGTTAAGATACCCATGATGAACAAACTTTAACCTTTTCAATTATTTCCTCATCATCGGCTCTAAATGAAAAGGAATATATTTCTTCGCTCAATCTTTCATTTTTTCTAAATGCGTAAATGAGAATTTGGAAATCGTTGAAACTTTAACCTGTTTAAACTTTCTTCTTACAGCAGCTATGTGCAGGATTTGTAAATTAAGGCAATTCAAACTGTTCCGCAGTACATATACTCCTTAATTAAAAATATGAAATTACGCCAGGGCTAAAGATGACATAAATGACCCCACTACGACTGACCCAGTAATTCAGCAACGGACTTATTAAACCGTCTAGCTGTTCAAAATCAACAGATAACGCTTTTGTGTTTGACCAGTAAGTGAATAATTGAAGGTTTTATTATTTCAACTGTCATGTTTTGCCAATCACATTCCTGAATTGTATAAATTTATCTTGACAGACACACACAAACATGATAATGTTATTCAACAATCGCGTCTATTTATATACTTGACAATAAGACACAGTTATTGTATAATGCTTAAGGATTTATTCAATTCACACGAAGCTAAACATTCACTTTATTAAGACAATTTTTCGAATAAAATTGAAATACTGATGCAAATGTAAGCTGGACATTGTGATTGAGATTGACACAATTCTCTCCACTAGATAACTTAAAAAATAACTAAACACGGAAACAGCCCGTAAAATTTAGAGTAAGTAATATGAATTCATGTCAACTTAAAATTTTCTGGAAAGAAAATGACTATTAAAATGAGGAGGAAGAAGAAACCTAAAGAATATATATATATATATATATCCTTTATATGAATATGTATACGTCTAGAAATGCATTATGCAAGAAAAAAACTACCAGGAATAGTGGAAGCAGTTAAAGAGACGCCACAGTCTCTTTATGTTTTTTCTTTTTAAAACAATGACCTGGATTTTTTTTCGTTTAATCACTGTATTTAACCTAGATGATCACCACAGTAATACAGATAAATAACTTAAGATAACTGAAGCAATACCTAAACGTATTGTCTAATTAAATAAGAAGGAGAAGGTGAAAAAAACATAGAAAATCTTTATTTCTTCTCACTTTAAAGAAATAGACAATGCTTACTACACTCTAAACAAGTTTGTAAAACTGTAATGCTAAAATACTAAACATCTCTTTCCATCCATAGTTTAAACTTTTTTCCACATATTGTATACACTACTTCGAATACAATCCAGTTGTCTAGCTGTACCATCATAGTAGCTCAGAGTTCAAGTAATTTCATATCAGTTTATGAGCACTAATTAATATAATTTGACAGTTCCATACTCTGATTCACTTAAATTCAGTCAATGACAATAATCTATATACACAATGAATGCATGTTTCTCATTACCTGGTCAATAACTATTATTATAATCCCAATAGGTTCCAAATTATACACAACTCTTCAACAGCGTATCTCCATTTCATCCTGCTACCTGCATTCGTCTCCAGCTAGCTCTACGGTTGCCAATATGTGCTCTTATCCTCACACGATCTCCTTCATGTCAACCTCAAGGCGACACCTAACTCGTCGTTTCCCATTCAAGTTTCACTCAAGGACCTAGCGCACAATTCCAGTCAACGGTCTCCTCAGTGCGTGCGTGTTCAATCCATCCCTATTTTCTACAGTATATTTGTTGAGTAACAGTTCCTTGGTTGGTTGGTGCGTTCCTAGAGTTCCCTGTTGCTGACCATTTCCGGCCGGTTATCTGACCTTCAGTATA